TAATTGCGTTCATGTATAACTATATCCTTACATATATGTGCAATTATGCTTTCGATTTAACACAAATAAAGATGAAATTATTACCTTTTTTCCTAATAACACTTCTTATAGCGATATACAAGTACCTACAGGAAATAAGATAATAAAAGATATGTTTTTTATTTGAAATAAATAAAACTATCTATGGCAGTTCCAGCTAGACACTAACTTAATATTGCATTACGAAAATAAAAGTGGAATATTTGAAAACTTTAATAATTCTTTACATATTAATGCACATGAAGGCACTAACTATATAATTTAAAAATCGAAAATAAATTGTTAAAATTTTTCTACCGAACTACCGAGTCAAGAGCACGGAACGTTGACGATGCCGGTTCAAACCCTGCCCGAGTCGAAAAATTTTCAATTTATTTTCGATTTTTAAATTAAAATTGGAATAGTTATATTATCGTAAATAATTAAAGACAAAGATACGAAGGTGAAAAACAATGGCATTTTCATCATTAACCCGGATGAAATTGTAGAAGGATTATCCGTTGGTTTTTAAAAGCACGTTAGACGATATAAAAATCACGACCGATTATTTATTGGCCATCCATTCCCGCCTTTAGACCAATGAGCCTGTAGTTCTGTACGTTTTAGCTAAACATACCCTAGCCATAACAGTGGAACACCAACCAGCCGTAATGGAAAACTTTATACAAAGTGTCGAGGCAGCGGGATTAGACACGGGCTGGATGCGCGGAGCTTTAAACGTTGTTAAAATTCAACGCGCAACTATGCTGGCCCGCCATAAACAATGTTCACTTATGATATGCAATAACTGTATACTGACTTTCCTATATAGTCTTACTAGCTATGCCAGCGTCTCCGTCCGCGTTGCATACACGTTATGGACATAAAAAATGTTTTTTTAAACCTCCTCATCTTTATAAATCATAGCTGCTAAATGTTACCAACGACGTCAGTCGCCTTCCATCGTTCTTGCAAGTTAATATTAAAAGATAAACATATATTGTCGCGGAAATTTTTAGATCATTTTAAGAGGAATCATACATATTTTTTGGGTATTTTGAAACGTTTTGGCAGCGCACGCAACAAAAAACCGACAAAGATGATTAGTTGCCTCCTTTTTTATCACATTTATAACCGTATCTTCGCTCTTATTGGTCGCAGCGTGATATTATATAACATAAACTCTAAAGCCTTCCTCGTTAAGTGGTCTATCTAACACAAAAGTAATTAATCAATTCTAACCAGTAGATCCTGAGATTAGCTCGTTCAAACACACAAATAATCTAACCATTCAGCTTTTTAATTTTAGTATAGATTAACAGACGTATAGGTGAGCTCCTAAGTTAAAACTACGTATAAAATAGTAAAAAATCTTTTAACATGGGTGTAAATATTTTCTGTAAAATTTTTCAACATCCGAGCTCTACTATCTATTAGATACCCGTTCATATACACGCATGAGCGCTTATTATCTGTGGTGGGATGAATAATATCTACAAAGACGGCTATAGAACGTCATTCGATAATTAATTGGGTACTTAACACGACCCCGCGACAATTTCTCGGTACTCGATACTGTGTGGATTATTAAGGATTTTCGTCTCCCGCTTTAAGCTAGGATTAAATTTTCTTTGTCTACGTACGAGGCCTTTTATTACGTAAATGTCGACGTAATTCGGTTCAGATAGGATCAGTCGTAATAAGCGCTTTCGTGATTAAAGCCTGCGCTGACGTAATTATTATTGAAGATTGAATGATAGTCGCGAGACATTTTCATAAGCCAGAGAAAATTGTATGTCCTTATATGGAGACATTTTGTGTCGGTTAGAGGTAACCCCCCACGTTACTGCTAGTGATACCAGATTATTAAGCACAAAATTTGTTGAAATCAAGCAGGAAATCGTTTTGAATTTACGATATCTAAAGGCTTATTTTGAATTATATACATTGGCAACAGACAGACAAAGAGACAGCACTTTTAAATGAGGCGTTAGAGAATATGATTAAATGCTACAAACACGTGGAAATATTGGTAAACGGACATGATCTACTTCACGATAAAAAATCACAATTGAAAACCATGCATGCATAAATAAATAAATCATATTAAAATCATTTTTAATTGAAGACAACGTGTTGTTTAAGAGATAGGTATAAATTGTACAATCACAGTCATATATTCACAATCATTTAGTAGTCCGTAAAACTCACACATACCCAGACTGAAGCAGAGTGGTGGGCCTTATGTCTAATATCTCTCGTTACTATGAATCCTTAGGATTATAGAAAAAAGAGGCAAGTTAACTTACTATCTTAAGTTAAACAGAGACAAGCAAATTGTTACAGTTTAAAATGTGTTTAATTGAGTTTAAAACAAATAAATAGACCCCAGCAACGCGTTGTTTATCGCATGCTGCGGTAAAACTGCTTAATCCGAAACACATTAAAGTGCCAAGTTGGGCGAACGCCTCGGGACATTCCTCTTCGGATTCTCGTGATTTCCTGTTTTATACGGACATTTAAATAAATATAAACTGTTATATTCGTTTCTACACATCTAAAAAGATGTTTTAAATTATACTTTATTACCGAATTGAATTCAGAATATCGCTGTGGTAGAAATGTTTGTTTCATCATACATACATTTTAAAATATTTAATTGAAGTCCAACTCTCAAAAAGCAAGTCTAAACCAGCAACCATCTAATAGAGAAGTGTTAATTTTTACTTTTTAGTGTCCTCTAATAATGTAGAAGTAATTATAACGTGTAATGTTGTTAAAATACTAACATATAGATCTGGATCTTTGATTCCAATAAACTTCTGGGTAAAGCTATTTCTACATAAACTTACATGAACGCAATCTGACACCTAATATGCAAGTAGACGACGCTACGAAACGTACCTGAAAGCAAACAAAAATAAAATTATTTACATAACATATTTTAATTAACAAGGTAAAAGAAAGTGTCATTTATAAAATGTATAGCCAAAATACAAGAACACAATTACTGAACGTGGTATATAAAATTGCCAAAAGTAAATATTGTTTTACGAAAAAGTTGATTAAAAAAAGTACCGTATATATTTAAAAATGAACATGAAATTGGAAACTCGGCCGAATGCTAATAAATGTTTAAGTAGACTGTCAGGTGGAAGATTGATGGTTCAATCCTACACTCCGCTATCTGGATCGTGTCACCGGAGACATGGCTTATTTATAAATGCGTGTAATCGCCGATCGGTAAAGAAACGATGACGGATGTGCGAGTGCCTGTTACACAATCAAAAATTCAATATACGTCATTAATAATGTTCATAATTCATTGTTTTAGGAAAAAAATTATGTAAGGCCAATATCTAAAATACGTCTAAATACTTCTATTTTATTTAATAACTATTATTATAGGTAATTACTGTCCTATCTTTGTTTGATATTGTGATAGTCATAAAAAAGTTCACTCTCCAATTTATTAATTATTATTTGTATTAGGCTTTTCTGATTATCTTACAGACGGTTGGATGACTTGTTTGTCGACTTGAAAATAACAGGGAAAGCTCAACATTTCAAACCAACGTCGAAAGGCATTTCTGAAATACGATAGCTCGAAAGTCCAAATAACCTTCGCTTGTAAAATCGGGATTATATACCGTTTGACTAGAATTAACGCCAAACAAAACATTTACACTTTAACAGAGCTTAACAAAGCAAGCGGCAACTTAACGATTACGTCACGCTGGCGCGACATGTCCGCGTCGCCTGAAGGAAATGAGAAAGTTATCGCCATCTAAATCCTAACCCAAGCTCCTGAATGTTCCTCTAATAGATATAAAATCCGTGTAGGTGTAATTCAATTCCCTTACCCGGAAAGGGCTTATAAGTATTAAGTAGAACAACCGATCACAGGGCGTAGATATTGCGTTTAATCAATTTTCTTTCGTATAGTTATAAGAAATATAAAGAATCAATAGAAATAATATTAAATATCCATGAAGTCATCTTATAATACCCGCATTATGATATATACAATATACAAAATAGAAATGAGGAAGTGTAGGGTGGTCACTTTAGCACAATACAATACAACACAATTAAACAATAAAGGCTGAAATAGTTTTGCATAAAGATACATTTTTCAGCGATACATTAGTGAAATCCCGTTTCCCCCCCTCGTGGTGCATAGAGCGAACACATTTCTGTGTCCGTTTCACTGATCAGTTTTATTTACAAGCAAGTAGTTGATCAGACTTCTGTACCCTGCCTGACCGAAACGATTTACTGTTTCCCCGGGATTTGAACCCAGGACCTCTCGCGCTTAACGCAATGCTAGGCAACACGTTTAACCATTTAGCTGCAGAGGCAGTCAAGCGGCAAGCAACGGTCAGCGATACATTAACTAAAATAAAATGGGTGCTAATTAAACTCGCTTCTTTTTAATATCACTATTCGCCTCCAAAAATGTATGTTGCCTTCTAAATTACTAAGTCAGCCACATTTAACGAGCATCTAAATAATGCTATCTTAGCCACTAGTTATCTTCTATGTAAACCACTCTAAATACAATTCAGCATGATGGTTATTTTTTAGCATTTAAATTTATAACATGCATTCATACCGCGAAATTCTAAAAATAACTTTAGAATCGCGGTATGAATGCATGTTATAAATTTAAATAAAAAATATTGAATTAAATGATATCAAAAAATATATTTATTTCGCTTCTAATTTTTTAACTCAGTACATTTAAAATGTAACTCATCCCATATTAATTGAACGACAAAATTTTGGCAAAATTGACATTAAATGTTAATATATTGGCCACTAATATTACCAGAAGCTATTGAGGAGAGATCAAATAAAAGTGTTTATTTATGAAAAATCAATTTGTTTATTGAATTAAGTTCCATTATTTGACTTATAGTAAATAATAGGAACATAAAAATAATGTAGTCGGTACCTAATCAAAAAAGGAAATTAAACCATTATTGGATTATTAACGCAGCTCGCGCTTTTGTTGGCCTTACACGCTTTCTTTTTAATCCTAGTGGTTGTGACTTTGCCTCTAGTGGAGGCGTCACGTATTTCAGTCTGATTGCAAGGCCTATCAAATGCTTGCGATAAAAGTCTGGACAATCACAGCAACCAGTAATCCACTCGGTCTGATTGTTCGGTAGTATTACGTTCCAAGATGAAAAAAACACTTTTTTGTATTCGTCAAAACACCTGAAAGTCTTCTCAGTTTGATCAATTTTGAATGAGTTGTTGAATGGAATTAAATATGTGGTGCTGGCTGGTGCTGAATGTACAACTCTAATTTTGGTATCACTTTTCGCCCATTGATATCCTGTTGTCCAATCTGATAACTGCAATTGAGGTTGTGTCGCAAATTTTTCTTCTGTTGCTTGTACTGACCAGTTATTAATCATTTCCTCTGCCACCACAAGGAAACGGGCCAACGGTATACGCTCGCGTGCGTTGTTCGTCGCTGGTGATATTGGTGCTGCACCCAAATACCAATTTGGGTTTTTATTAGCCATTCTTTTTTAAAATATTTTAGGAATGCTTTTTGGTCTTTCCATTTCTTCAAGAACGACTTTGAAGCAGCAAAGCATCATGCAGTAGCTATTTTCACGATAAAAGAATATGATATATTATTTTACATGGTAAGTTATAATAAATGATGTTTTTTGTAGAAGCTTGAATTATATTTTTTTGAGGACATTGCGTTGAAGTTGTAAAACGTAAAATGGCGACGAGATGTAAAATCCGTGGCCGAGTTAGTAAATTAGATGGCAATATATAAATAAGAAGGACAAGTCACAATTATTGATGATCTTTACTTGACGCTTTCTATACAATATTTAGTTGGCGTTGTAAAAAAGACGAATCAGTTTATTAGAGGCTATGTTATTTTCCCGTTGCTTAGTTATAAAATTAGAAGTTTAATCACGTGTCCAATAAACAATTTTGTGGCTAGACTTATAATTTCCCAAATAAAATTAGTAATAGGTAAAAAAAAAATTCTTAATATTCGAATTTAGATTACCGCTAATTAAGTACCAAGTGTAGTTTACTTGAATGTACACATTTTTATAAAGCATTATAATTTAAATAAAGCTTATTGTTAGATAAATTTTCCTAAAATACCGATTTAAAAATACCAGTCGAGTAACGGATATTTCGAACTTCGATATGGCAGACATTCTGACAGTTGACAGGTTTCGGGTCAGCGCGGAACGGCGTGGATGCTGCGGCCGACGTGTAGGCCAAACATACAGTGTTTAATGTTGAGCGCGTGTGGTTTTGCGTTGTTACATTTCCATACAGATTTTAACCGAAGTAAAATGTTTGAAAGCCTCAAAAGCGTAGTCATAAACCGAATTAATACGTGACGTTTGATTATTTATAATTTTCATGGGTAACATGCTTATAGAATATGTGATAATACAGCAACATTTTAAATTATTTTCCATTTCATCGTAACTCAAAACAACACATGTATCTTATTGTTTTGCCCGCACGACGCTACAGATGTGTTATGCAAAGCCCTCGTGGTTTCACACAACCTTTTAATAAATCAGTAGATACTCTTAGCGTAATCATAACTCAATGTTTGACAAAGATTTCCCTCATTTCAATATCGAAGTAAATCAGTTTGTCGAGAGCAAATTTCGGTTATAATTTAATACCCGCATACAAAGCGATGCGCGTTGACTTGTGCCCCTGGATGAAAGCTCCACGTCAATTTCACGACTCTGTGTTTGGCGGCGAATTATGGCGTTCACACTTCATTATGGTACCTTTGTTCGTCATACTCTCGAACTTTGCCAGTTCGCGTACGTAAATCAGTGTTTGTGAAAGGAAGAATTTGTCACTGGAAGGACACTTAAAAACGAATAATTGAAATCTATTTGTAACTTATTCGTATAACATTTTTAAAGATGTAAAAAAGAGATTATAGTTACTAATAAATGATTATTGAAAACGATGACAAATAAACTTAAATCTTTATTAATGTATAAGAAATCAGATTAGCACTCAAACATTTACTTAGGATAAAGTTAGCGTAAGTTTGTGACTATAATTATAGTAAACACTTCCGTAATCCTTCTTTTCGACGTGTCAGTCAGACTTTTCAGACAAGAAAACCTAGAGTGTTTGTCCAATAAGAACAAACAATGTTTTCCATGTGCGAATAAATACCTACTAATAAATATACTTTGTTATCTATACCTATGTATAGATAACAAAGCCATACTGAGAGTTAGCAAAGTTTTATGAACATCCATAACGATGCCTAGTTTTGACAACAGGTTACCCCAACTTCGTAACGAGTAGTGCTCAAACAAGCAAACTAGTGTGGACCCACACAATTATTGTTTTCTACTAGAACACCGCTGGAATTCTAGTTTCAACTACTTCACCTGAAATACCGTGTTTGCAAGATTTGAATGATGTGAGCAAAACAATATTGAGGAGTTTGTACGTTTCGTCAAAAGTTCAAAGTATTGTACCGCTAATTAAATGGACAGTTGTTTATACACGTTAAGAATAACGTGATTGTAATTATTTATATTTTAATGGACAAAACAAAAAATCTATAACAGCTTAGACACAGTTTCATTCTAGAGCAAATCCAATTAATAAAACAATTTACGAAAAAAAAAACTTTAAATTAATATACACATTATGAATATAGCAACTTGTGTATAGAAAAACAATAAAAAACGATTCTACTTATTATGGTTTAGACTTGTAGCAAGCTCAGATTTATTTGGGCCTAACAAGAATATAGCTTGATAGAGCAATGTGATGAAGTGCCAAGAATATTAACATATATTTGCATACAATAGTGTGGTGTGCCGCTTATCCTAACCTCCCTATAAATATCAAACTGCATAGACCTTGGCATGCCTATTTTGTCAGGCTACTTAGATTCTTTTTAGAAGCGACCCTATTAAGGTAATTAACCTCAATGAAAACCTTTTATAAAAGTCTATATAATGATATACTTACTTACGTTAATTACATAGTTTTTATAGTTAGAGTTTAGATCAGTAATCAAAGCTTATATGATGTTGTAAATAATAATTCACAAACATTACCAAAAGCCAATGAAATATTACAATAATTAAAAATTACACGAATCTGAATCCATACAATTGTCGATGAAAACTTCATAACTATACATTAACAATAATGATGTACAACTCAGTCATCTTCTTCTTCTTAATTTGATGGCTTTTCCATTCGGAATGGTTTATACCAATGTCATGTATCTATGGGAGGAATGACAAAGTGTGATAATATAATTTGTCCACACTCGTAATTGGACGGAAGGAAAAGTTAATAAAACATGGACATACGAAATTAACCTCTGCCATCTGTAATAGATGGCAGAGGTTAATTTCGTATCAATAATTCAACAGATAAAACGCAGTCTTATTCCCGCCAACCTTACAAATTAAAAGTCACAACTACAGCGACAAATGTCAAGTTTGTCAAGCACAAACTAATATTTGTAAAAAAACTAAGTCCACACGTAACAAACACATTTAAATGTGAAATACTAGCGTAGAGTATAGAGTACTCTCACTCTAACCTCCGGCTAATAACATAAATTACTGATCAGCGCGCGGCCGTAGGTCATAGCTTTTACATAAATGTTATCGGCCATAGTTACGCCCCGGGCGGCAGTTACCATTTGTCGGAATAGCTGTCTCACATACGTGTATATTAAACATATACCTATGGGTTATTAGGGCCAATTAATAAGCTATAAGCCTTCTGCGTAATTGCCGCACGATAACCCTCAGATAAGACAGAAGTATTCTGTAAAAATGTCAATATGACCGATTGACCACGAGAAGTTCGAGTTTAAGTTAGGTTTTGTATAAATGTATAATATATAAAGTTATTCGATTGGAAATTTGAAGGCTGTTTCGTAAATATATGGTACCTTTAAAATATATTGGGTATCTATATATAAGGATATATATTTAAATCTATACTAATATAAAGCTGAAGAGTTTGCTTGTTTGTTGGTTTGAATGCGCTAATCTCAGGAACTACAGGTTCGAATTGAAAAAATATTTTTGTGTTGGTTAGAGCATTTATCGAGGAAGGCTTTATGACAAATAGAAGCGAAGATACAGCGGGAAATGTGAGCAAATCGGAGAGAAATTTTTCATCTCTCTGGGTTTCAGGTGCGTACGCTGCGAAAACGGTTCAAGACACGCAAAAAATATTTGTATGAAAGAATGATTTCTCTTTAAGTGATCTAAAAAAAAGTTCGCGACGCTATATATGTCTATTTTTTTAAATCATTTTTTCAATTAATTTTCAAGAACGACGGGAAGAGACGCGTTCGACGTCGTGGCTATCAGCTAAAGTTTATAAAGACGAGGGGGTTTGCAAAAACTAATTTATGTGTTTTTAAACACGATGTCTTAATTTGTCTGTTTATAAAGACGAAGTCGCTTGCACAGCCAGTAATTTATAATTACTTAAATAATACGACTGTCTCGTTTACGTGGCACTTTATTGCCGATCCTGCGTTTAAAACCCACCAACCTGCATTTTATTCGAATCAAAGACAACCAATTAAAAGGCTGCTAACGAGGTTAATGACCTCCCAAAATGTGTATAGGTACGAAAACGATCAATCACAACACTTTAACATAATTAGCTAGTCACGTTATAAGCACTTAAGCCATTCCGCATCAAGCTAAAACGCTTCACCACTAAGCCGAATTAGCTTAGCATAAAAGCCTATACAAGCTATGATCTGCCTAATGACGTTCAGGTCATCGGTCAGGCAATCAACCTAATGTACGTTACTGCTGTAATATAACGCTTATATCATATGTATATTGCAGGTAATGCGTCTTTTTCGAAAGCAATACATATTTGATTTTTGTGGAGGTAAGTTTTAAAATCTGTCTACTAACGAATAAGAGAATATGTTATAGAACTCTAAAGTTGTAAGGAATTTCAAACAGTTTAAAGTATTAAATCTAATAAAAGAGCAAAGTCTTATTGAAGTTAGAAATTTTAATACGCATTAAACTCTGCTAGTTTGGGGATATTATTTGTATTATGTGGTAATAAAATGAAAAAGTAATAGTTCAAAGTTTTACATTATGAGAAAATATTAGTTAGATACTATTTACTATCTATGAACATATTACATAATGTCGATACAAATTTAAAGCTTTTCCACGGCAAGAAAGAAGAAAACTACCTCCCGAAGCCTAAAATAATAACGCCCTACAACTCCAACGGGAAATAAAGTAACGCAAACATATTGTCGAATAACTCTTTGTTTTTCCCAAGCACTCGGAGAGCGTGGACTGGCGTCATATGTCACAAGGAAGGAAGCGTTTCTCATTTGCTACTGGGAATAAAAACAACGTTGCCTCCTCAATGCTGAAGTGTACAAGCTCAAAGCGTGTTATTTCTATTAGCCAGCGTCTTCTTTCAACGCTGGACAAAGGCCGTCTAACATTTTTCTGTAAGAACATATTCTTTGAGTAAT